TTCCCGACGGAATCCGAAACGTCAGGACAATAAAACTCTTGTTCCAGTGATCTCTTATTCTTCTAGAGCTGGTCATATATTATCGCGAACATTTAGATACAACCCAATCTTATTAAAACTAAATCATGTAGAAATCTACCTCTTTTGTACATTATCCTTTCTGCTTATGCATCATTTAGAAACGCAAGAGACAGAATAATAATTATTATTATTCCAAAAATGGCCATATGTATGGTCACTCTTTTTTGCATTCGCAAGCTTATAACAGAGCCTGAAAGTAAACTATTATGGCTGAAAATAATCCAATCTAAAACGAAAAGTAAGTTATTTTATTTCCAGTCAAATTAAATCGTTCATTTTTAGGCAAATTTAAAAAAAATTGTCAAGTCTCCATTTTCGTTTAGACATTACCTTGAAAAAGGGTAATGTGCACATAATTTCGTCAGCTGAATATCTAAGTAAACTACTCCTTAAGAGATTACATATTATATAAAGCTTATATATTAATATTAGGAGTAATAATATCACACTTTCGTTGCTGACCTTCTTTTTGCTTGGTACTGTGTTTTGCTGTTTGGAGGAATTTCTTCATAATAACTTATATCCAAAACACGGTTCTTCGGTAAATTATTTCCATCAATATCTTATTTTAAAGTTTGTTTATATAAACGTCGAATAAACTCTTGATTTATGAACTAAAACTTGAAGGCACTGAAAAAACTGGAAAATCTATCGGCTTTTAATGGTCCATTTGTAAGTAATTGTAATGAAATAGTAAAAATACGCTTAAAAATTTTTGACCGATGAAGTTTTTTTGATATAAAGAAAGTGACGGTAGGATTTAAAGTAATTGTTTTAATTTATAGCTATTTTCGCCTCTTAGGAACTTGGGGATTATCAAGAAAATTTCGTTTTTTAGCAAGCAGTTAGTACTTCGTATATTTCTTCTAAGTAAAAATTTTGCCTAGGCTCGTTCATTAATACTTTTAAGTTTTCGTAAATGCATTAATTCTGGTTTGCGAGTGTTTATCAATATTTTGCAAACTTCGGTATATTGCACATATTCTGGGCCGTAGTGTAGGTGTAATTTTTTGAGATCTGACCAAATTATTACTGTTAAAAAGTTATTTTAATGAGCTCTTCTAAGCAGTTGTCAGCCTTACTATATTTACTTTAATATAAATTTTAAAAATAATCGTAGCCCTCTCAAAGCGGTCGCCTGTAGGTTCATTACTACGCCTCTAATTCCGGCCTTCTAATGCGTCCAAGTTCCGTGGGAAATATACTATGTGTATTGGAGACAAAATTTATTCTTTTGATTAGAAAGAGCGCGCAAAAAAAGTAGAATGTCCGATCAAAAAATAGAACACACATACGCCCGAAATTTGTGTTAAATATAAAGCCTAAAATCCGGCCCGTCAATTTTATTTTGCAGCAAGACAAAGCTGTGAGAATATCGGCTTATCAAAGGATCTACAACATCTTCCATTCATTTGCTAGTCCTCATTTTATGCAACTACAAGCCTTTGCTTTTGCTACAACAATCTTAGCCTTGACAGTTAGTGATTAATCTCATGGGAAGTGCTAAAATTAGTTTTCGCTTAGAATGGAGTAAGTATATGGGGATATAATATTGATCACTATGCGACATTATCCTATAACACTGCGTACACCTAAGAATGCCAGCTTTCTAATGCCATACTTTTCGTCTGCCTGCAAAAGCACACTCGGTACAAAATTACCAATTAATCAGTATGGATGTTTCAATTTATTTTTAAAGCGCTTGCGAAGTTTAAACGTACTTTTAAGGAAATATGCAGACAAACAGGATTCCTTGACTCTTTTTGTCTATAATTTTGCCTGTTAGTAAGACCATTTTCTAAGAAATGCTATCGTTTGTTTTTGGAAACGTTTCAAATTATGATATTTTTAGGACCGTAAAATTTCCATTTACTAAGCTTGTTATTTGTCGTTTTATTAGTGCTTCGCATGAAGTATACAACAAAGCTCACATATATTAAGAAAATCTATTGAGTACGCTTTACTCATGCAGAGGGAGGTGCGGTGGTCCCTACGCATGTGCATAATTAAAACCCTAAACGAAAATCAAACGTCTAATTAGACTAAATATCTTGGGGCATTAGAAAACACTTCCACGTTTTTAAATTTTCCTTCGCGAGAGGAAATTTATTTTTTTACCGAACCTATACAGTAAGTGGTCTAATTAATGAAATCAAGG